CATTTTGTCTGCCACAGCGGTGAGAACCCGCCGCTTATGAAAATGGAGCTGTGTGCACAAAGACACACCCGCTGTCTGCAGGGCCCGGTTCCAAGTGGGACACCTGGCCTAAAAAGACCACAAAGGTAAAAAAAACAAATCCAATGAATTAGAAGTGCCCTGCAGGCTCCAGTTACTGTTCCCATTCCCACTCTTGAAAGCAGAATCCGATCTTGAAAGCTTGTCCGAAGACTCAGCAGACCCAGGCTAAAGTGGGGCTCAGGGACTGGTGTCCCGGGGGGCAGGTACTGCTACAGGGAAGGTTTGTTTTCTGGTCCCTGGGGGGGGGGGGGGGCGTTCTTTAACTGACACTATGTCACAGGGGATACACCAGAATATTTTGGGTAATACTACAGCATTTACCAACACCCAACCCCTATCCAAGGGAGATGGGCAATTAAGAAATATAAATAAATACATACATTCCCAATGGGCCAATAAATGTGTGAAGGAGGTTTATATATTTTTTAAATAGGATAGAAGCTTCATCCTGCAAAAATTTCCATTGGAATTCAGTTTGCTTCTATTTAATCCTTCAGTGACTGATACTTTTAGCCACTGTATCTTCGAAGCTATGACTATATTAGCCAGGCAAAATCTTAGTTTTCTGTATAATTCCTAACTCTTTTTTGCAATTTGCAGCACAAATATTTTTAAGCTTTCCATTTGGTCTGCAGTCCTCTGTTATTATCTGTCGGTGCTCAATTTAATTCCCACTCATTTCAGCACTAGGGGGAGCTGCAGTCCCATCATTCGCTGTGTAGCCCAGGTGGAAAACCTTTAGGATGCTTTTAGGATGAATTGACTTGAGTTGATAAGGCTGTTTGATAAAAAGAACCATGGAAGAATTGTGTGTGTGTTTGGTGGTCAGCCCCAGATCCATCTTGATTCAGATTCAGGGCTGCCACCACAGGGGACGGGCAAGTTGTGGGAACGGGAGAGCGATGAAGGGAGTAGAAAGCCACAACGTTCTTTCGCCAGAAATCAAGGACCACTTGCTGGAGTTTGGTGGGGAGTGACTGGAATTGGCGGGAGTTCAGAAATGAGGCGGATTGGCCAATGTCACTGAGGAGTCATAAATTGGGGCAGGGTGTGAGTTTTAGTGTGGAGGGGGGAAATGCGGGAATTCAGATTCAGGTTTGCCCCAGATGTGCCAACATGACTTCTCTAATAAATTCTTACTTTGACGGCTTTTGTCTCCGAATTTTGAATCAGGATGGAGAGTTTAGTTGGAACACTGACAGCAGTTGTTAAAATTAGTCACAGGTTGTTAATTGAATCTGGTTTCCCCATTGACTTTGTTTGTCAGAAAGTTACTTTGATGGACTTTGTCTTGGAGTTTTGAATCGCATGGAGAATTTAATTGGAATGCTGACATTTGGTTTCTTTGCAGAATATTTCTTCTGTGAGATATGAATTCCCGTAGTCCCAAAGAATGGATTGTCATGATGATGCTTTCAAGTATTTATGTAAGTGAGGAACTCAGAGTCAGCTGCCGTGGTGGTAACCAGCACAATTGCTTGTGGTTCTGCCCACAGATGCTGTCATGTGGCCTGAACTCTGAGTTCAGCATCATCTTTTGGCTCCTTGAGGCATCCTTAGCAATCACTGTGCCCCATTCCCCCCACCCCCCATTGGACTAAGTCTCAAAAGTCTCCATCAACAAATAGGGTAGAAATCCAACTGGTTGGTTTGTCTGTCTTACCTCTGTAGTAAATCTAGCCTTAAATCAGGAGCTTTGCAGAAGATAAGCCATGTTCACAATAGTAGCAAACCAATCAGAAGAGTCTGAGAGTATATCTACGAAGATTCTCAAGCATCCAGATCATGGATGTCCCAAAGGTGCTTTTTCCAAAAGGCAACTAGACTCTCTTGGAGTTTTAGAACATAGAATAACAGGGTTGGAAGGGACCTTGGAGGTCTTCTAGTCCAACCCCCTGCTCAAGCAGAAGATGCTACATCATTCTGGACAAATGGCTGTCCAATTTCTCTTAAAAACCTCCAATGAGGCCACAAGAGGAGAGAGCAAGATCGGTGGTGCAGGACTGCTGCAGCTCCTCAATTATTGGAAGACTGCTATCATGTCGTTCTCCCACCCCAGTCTCTAGACTGGCCAAACCAAATTTCTGCAACCCTGTTCTTTTTTTTTTTCAATCTCCAGGCCTTTAATCATCTTAAGTTGCTCTCCTTTGCACTTTTTTCAAAGCCTCAACATCTTTTTTGTAATATGGTGACCAAAACTGGATGACATATTGCAGGTGAGGCCTTACTAAGGCTTTATAAAGGGTATAAAGACTCCTGTCTTGGGCAGGGAGGTCAAGACCTCCAAAATCCCTTCCGGGCCTGTGATTCTATGATTCCAGATGAGATTCCCCCACCCCAAAAAATTGTCTTCTAAAAGCATTGTTTTATTGAGCTTTATTGTGCTGTACATAAAAAGGGGGGCTTAATCATACAGCCCAGTGAAGGATAAGGATTAGGTGAAAAAGACATCAGCCCTAGAATGTTTGCCCACCCATGACTTCTTTCTGACAACCCCATGTTGACTTCTAGTAATCGTCTTGCTCGTTTTTGGGTACTCACAAATCTACTGCTTGATTATCCTTTCTGGGATCTTCCCAGGTGTTGATGTCAGGTTGCTTGGTCTGTGGTTTCTTGGATCTGTTCCCTCCCCCCGTTTGAAGATTGGAACCACATCAGCCCTTTTCTAGTCTCCTGGTAGCCTCATGACTACCATATTTGTTCCATCTGCCTTTCCAGTGAATATATCTGCTTCCATTATCATTTCAGTCTATTATTGTTAAACCATCTTTAAAAATATTTATTTACTATTATTTATTTTGTTTTTTACCTTCTCCATCCTGAAGTCAGAGAATGTGGAACTCGTAACAACTCCCAGCCTCTTGTCTCAGGGGCCTTCGATGTGGCTTCTTCCCAAGTGACCCACCCCTCCAAAGGGGATAAAAAGGACTGAAGTGATGCCCCTGAGTGCAGGCCTTTCTTCCCTTACTCCTTCTGTGCAAGGAGGTATCCAACTCACAGGCATTTCTGCACTCTAGCACTGAAATTGAACCAGGAGAGGAGGCTGGTGGCCATGGAGAACGTTGCTTCTCCATTCCAGCCTTCTACTTAAAACATACCTAGAATCTAGTCATTCTTCACCTTCGTCTTTTTTCTTCTTTAAAGCCCCTTTGTCCATGTAAACAGGACATCTGTGGGCAGAATGGGCCCTTTTGCCCACACCCTCCAGCCACAGCCAATCGACAGCGAGCGTTCAGATTCAGCCGAAACTCTGCCGGGGGCATTTCTCCGAAACCAATGGACCTCTGGTTTCCCCCCACCCCCAGCACGGGAGCTTCGCTGAGGGACCACTGTACTCCAGCGATTCACCCCAAGGCCAAGCCATCACACCTCAAGGCTCTGAGGGGTGGGTCTCTCCTGAGCCATGGAGGCGCTGGCCGGCAAGCGGGGTGGCAGTAGTGGGATGCTCACCTCAGGGTCAGGCCCTCTGTGAAGATGCTGAGGGGGCTGCGTTGGCAGGCAGTGGCATTTCTCTCTCACACACACACACACGCACACACACTCTCTCTCTCTGCTGGCAACCCTTCTCTGTGGGAAGGGGACCGTCACACATATACAGACACAACCACTAATGCAGTCGTCCTCATCCCCCCACCACGCCTTCACGGAAGGCCCAATCCTGGCCCAAGCATTTTGCTTCTGCTGCCGCCCCCCTTGCCCCCCCCCCCCCCCCCGGCCAGCCCCTCCATGGCTCAGGAGAGTCCCACCCGTCAGAGCCCCAATTGGCTGCCTGCTTTTCCTTGGGGCGAATCGGTGGAGTAAAATGGTCCCTCAGTGAAGCATCTGTGATGAGAGACGCAGAAGGTGGAGGGCTGGGGGTCCATCTGCACCGGAGAAATGCCAGCAAGAGGCTCAGCTGAGTCTGAACACTCGCTGTCGATTGGCTGTGACTGGAGGGCAGGGCTGAAGGGGGTGCAAACATGCGGTGGAGGCAAAACGTCTTAGCCCAGAGGTGTCAAACTCAAGGCCCAGGGGCCGGATCCAGCCTGCGGGGTGCTTAAATCTGGCCTGTGGAAACATCAAAGGACCAACCCCCAGTGCCTCTGCCAGTGAAAACAGGGCTCCAGGGTGCCCCCACTCCAACCTCTGCTTTTGCTGGCAGAGGGCTGCATCAGGCCACAACCTCCGAGGTCAAACACAACCCCGATGCGACCCTCCATGAAATGGAGTGTCAGGATTCCAGCAGTTACCCCCAATTAAATTATGAGTCTTGAGCCAAACTTCTGAAACGTTAAAAGGATTTATTGTCCGGCACTGCCTGGGGGTAGCCGACTCTGAGACACATCATTCATTGTCACCCTTGACTCTGATTATCCCTCCCACCCCACCTCCTGGGCGTATCATAATTCATGTTCTCCAAGGAGAGACATCCATAGCCCAGAGTCATCCATCATGCTCTCCAGTTAGAATTTTGCATGGCAGAAACTTCCGTCACCTAGTTACTATCTTTGAAAAACTACTTATGGAATGCACTTTCGATTTCCAAGCTGCCCCACTTCTCCCTCCTCCCTTTCTGTTGGCAACTCCAAAAAGACCATAGAAATATTTTATGAGTTGACATGGAGTTTGACACCCCTGTCCTAGCCCACCTGGGGGTTTCCCGCTGCTCCCTTCCTTTGGCGTTTGAACAGTGTCAGTTTGCTGGCATGACAAGCCCTTTCCCCACTCCAGGACCTGAAATCTTTTTGCACCTTCTTTACCTGATGCCGTTATTGGTGGCCTCTGCGTTAAACTTGGAACGGCTGTCAGCCCTTGATCCCCATGACTGTTTCTCCCCACACACAGAGACACAGACACGCCACCTGACCCCCAATGGCCCCTCACTGGAACTTTGTCTCAGATAAGCATTTCAGACGGAGAGGTGGAGATAGAGTTTCTACTTTTATTGTAAGAACAAATTCTGTAGACAAAAATTGCACAAAACTACCACACATTTGGTTCAAGACATTCCCGCCGGCAAACCTGCTTGGCCTGTTTCATTAGAATCACTTCTCAGATCCACGAGAGCTTCTCCTCCGTGACTGCAAATGAAGCTTCTGTCTCACTTACAACCCCTACGAAGAGGAGAGAGTCTCGTCATTGTAAATGGAATGACAAAGAGAGGACGTCTGTTGACTTCAAAGGCAGAGGAACGGAGGTATTTAGAGCACTCCCGGGTGAGGTGGGAGCAGCCGTTGCTCAGTCTCAGAGAAGAGACATTTGTGCTGGGATGCCCACCAGGTCTGCTTTGTTTTCTCCTGAATAGACTGCACTTCAGTAGAAGAGACCCTGGGCAGCTCAGGGTTAAAGTCCTTGGACTGGGTTAAACGGCATATAACCAGGAAACAAACTTGCTCCCTTCTATACTGCGAGGACGTTACCTTGCCAGGCAGTGAAATACCTGCAAGAAAATCACCCAGCTCAGAGCATACTAAAGACTCCACAGGGTGCCCTTCTTTTAAGTTGGCTTGTTTTTTCGTAAATGCACAGATTCGTTCCCTGCAGCAAACTAAAATGAATCAGTTGTTGTATAAACCCCATTATTCTTTCTCCTCTCCAGCACTTTGATTAAAGTGTTTATTAATACAAGCTAATTACCTTCTTGGATGGCCTTCCTTCGATCTTTGATATAACTTCCTCTTCCACAATCTCTGCAGCTTTCTGGGGAAAATGGGGGAAAGGTACAAGGACTCAGGCCACGTCCATTCAAGGCAATGAGAGAAGGCTGCCCTTGTGGTCAGAGGTGGGATTCAGCAGGTTCTGACCAGTTTTGGAGAACCGGTAGTGGAAATTTTGAGTAGTTTGGAGAACCGGCAAACACCACCTCTGACTGGCCCCACCTCCCGAATCCCAGCTGATTGGCTGGGTCTTCTTTGGTTGCCCTGCACAGGAGAACAGAACTGGAAAGCAGGTTAGTGGGATGGGGTAGGAATGGAGATTTTACAGTAGCCTTCCCCTGCCATGCCCACCAAGCCAGATAGAGAGAGACTTCCAGGCCTGAGGACAGCTCTGAACCCCCACTGCAATTCTTTAGGGCAGGTGTCTAGACTGGCTAGGGAATTCGGGAAGTTGTCCACAGATCTTAAAGTTGCCAAGGTTCGACACCTCTTCTTTTGGGTAAAAGATATGAGCCAGCATCGTGTGGCAGCAGCCAAAAAAGCCAATGCAATCCTAAATTTCATCAACAGAGGGATACAATCAAGATCAAGTGAGGTACTAATATCACTCTATAAAGCCTTAGTAAGACCACACCTAGAATACTGCATCCAGTTTTGGTCACCACACTATAAAAAAGGATGTTGAGACTCTAGAAAAAGTGCACAGAAGAGCAAGCAGGATGATTAGGGGACTGGAGACTAAAACACACGAAGAACAATTACAGGAACTGGGCCTGGCTAGTCTAGGGAAGAGAAGGACCAGGGGAGACAGGATAGCAGTCTTCCAATATTTGAAGGGCTGCCACAGGGAGAACCTATTTTCCAAAGCATCCGAAGACCAGACAAGGAATAATGGATGGAAACTGAACAAGGAGAGATTCAACCTAGAAATAAGGAGACATTTTCTGTTCAACCAATGGAACAGAAGTTGCCCTCGGAAATTCCAACTCTTGTTATTCTGTGTTCTGTATTCGGATTGCTTGTGAATGCCAGGAGACCAGAATACATGCACTGAGAGATCCTCCTACCTGGTCTACAGGCAATTCAACCTGCGTGTTTTCATCCTCTCCAATTTCCTGCGCATCCGCCATCTCCTGCCTTCCTCCTCTCCTTTTATAAACACTTTCATCTTCTGAAAAAAAAATAAAAATAAAACACAAGGCAACATGAGATACCTTCGGAATAACGTGCACTTCCCTCCTTGCGCGAAAGCTCCAGACCTAACTGGGGGGGGGGTGTGGCCAGCGCATGATGCATGTGGCCCACAGGCCACACGTTTGACGCCCCTGCTCCAGATCCAGATGGTGGCTACAAATTAGCTTTGATGCCTTTATGACTGATCTGGCAGAAGAAAGCCCTGCCTGTGTTTACAAAACAAACCATGATTAACAGAGCCATGGATACTGAAGGCATTGTGGGAGAAGCCCTGTGGAGTCTGTGCTCGCCCTTTTCCAGCATTTCAGGCATTCACTTTCCTGAGCCGCTGCAGACATCAATGTCAGTGTCCCAATGAAACTTCCCATTCTCATTCAGTAGTCAGAAACAAAGTTCATCCAACATAGCTTCAGAGCTGCAGAGCTTAATACAGAGCCACGCCAAGGCTACTTCCAGTTTCAGTTTCCAAACAGTCCTCCTTGGCTGACTTAGTTGCTATGTCTATTCATTGGCTGACCTTGTCACCATGCTCTCTTCCAGTTCATGAACATACTTCCGACACTATCACCATAGCATCCTCACCAGTTATAGCCCACCCTCCGCCTTTCACGCCTAGACATGCGTGTTTTTCCTTCTCCATTTATTTATTTTTACCTTGGGCAGAATAGTTGCCAGGGCCCTGGCTCACTTGTCTGACCTGGCTTGGCTTGGCATGGAAGACAGATGTCGCTTTATCTTGGTGAGGATATTTCTTAGCTGCCCTGGACTCAGAGGGACGCGGAGGGTCTCCTGCAGGCATGATCCCTGTGGAATGCACCCGCCAAGGCTTCAGCTGGAAGTTCAAGCAATGTTCATCAGGGCCAGTTCAAATCATCACCAGCAGCTCCTATTTCCATCCTCTCAGAGTCGTCCCCACTCCACAATCTCTTTCCGTGCCAAAAATTTAAAAAAAAGCCATTCCCTGCAGAAAAGGTGCCACAGCTCCCCTCCTTTTGGATCCGTAGCCATTGGGAAAGTGGGGAGTCTCTGGCGCACACCCAGGGCTGTGAGATTTCAACTCGCCCCCCAGCTCCATCCAGGCCAGGAAGGATGGCAAGGAGTCCAAGCCTCTTTGGATGGGAAGCGGCTTCCCCATGCTTGTTCCAGGCCAGTGGTAGCTAACCTTTTGGGGCTCCTGTGCCAAAAATTGTGCACACGCTTGCACGTTCATGCTCACGTGCCAGCACCCAGAAGGCAGTGCATGCCCCCCCACGCCCACTACACATGCGTGCGTGCATAATCACTATGCGGTGGGTTGGACTAGATGACCTACAAGGTCCCTTCCAACTCTGATTATCTGTTATCTGTTAACTGGGTGACCAGGTCGGGGGGGTGTAGTACCTGTTCAGCGACCCATGCCAAATCCTTGCTACCAGTTCACTCGAACCGGTGCGAACCCAGCTGAATACTACCACTGGCTCTAGGGCAGGGCTGTCAAACTCGATCTCATGCATCGTACACTGGCCACGCCCATGCCCAGTTTAGCAAAGGGGGGGAAAGTCACAATATGTCACATGACAATGCCAGGATGCCGCGAGTTTGACATACCTGCTCTAGGGAGACCCCACCCCCGGACAGGCTCTGGCCCAGCACTTTGCGATTTTAAGCCCCCTTCCCCAAGTCAGATGTGAGCAATCCCCAAGGCCCAAAGAAGTGTGCCTGACTCCCTGCTTTGCAAAAGGCTAAATTATTACTACAGGTGGTCCTCAGCCAACTTCTCACCAACTATTTGAAGTGACGATGGGTCCCAAAACAGGTACGATGGGCCCAGATTTGAAGTGACAGTGGCTGCCCCCTTCCTCCACAGTCACACAATTGTGTTTCAAATGCTCAGCAACCACCTACAGCTTCTTGTAGTCACATAACCACAATTGACTTTTTTGCCACAAACTGATGTTTACTTCCAATTTCTAGCAAAAAATGCCCATGGTGAACCAGGGGTCCACTTAACAACCACAAATTGAGTTAAACACCATTGTGATTCTCTTAACAACGGCCACAAAAAATCTAAAATCGGGTTGGTCACGTGATGACCCCTTAACAATGTAAAATCTTCTTTTCATAAAAATTATAAGAACACAAAAAGCAGGACATTTGGAAAAGTCAAAAGGTCAGCTGTGGCTACAAAATCCAAGCCCTTTTAGGTGCATTGTATTTCTTAAAAGGGTGGAACTTGGTTAGGCGGTTGCAGCTGCTATATTGACTTCTTGGACACTCACAAACACCTGCAGATGCCCCTGCTGATTACGATTTGGACCCAAATCAGCATCGTGGGGGAGATGTAAGGGCTCTAGGCTAGGTGGATAAGAGCCCACTTCTGAAAGTCTCAGGAAATAGGGCTTCCCCCTTATTTCCTGCCAATCAGCTGGAGATCTTAAGATGCAGGCAGGACAACTTCCCAAACTTTGCTTGAGGTTTTCAGTATACACAGGTTGAACATAATATTCATGAATTTAGCCCACCGAGCCTTTTATTGTGGAGAAAATATATTCCCCAAAATGAGATTTTTATTGCAGAAACTTCAGTGTTTTATATATACATATACATACACACACATACATATATAATGTAGTTTAGAGGTCTTTGAGAATATAGAATCCCACTTTCAGCCAACACGAAACATTAAAATCCTGCACTTTTTGATTTAAGTTTGGCAGACTAAACCCTCCAAATTCATTTTACCTGTTGTGCTGGCTCAAGGAGTGCCGAGTCGCTGGCTCCGTCTTCAGAGACCACCTGGAGAGAATAGAAGGGAATAGAAATCACTAAACAGGTAAACAACATTGTGAGGTTTTCCTGATTCTGATCTTAGCTAATGCAAAACCCCAAACTGGTAAGACATTAAATAATGAAATACTGAAATGTAATAATGCTGTACACATCTTATTTTTTTAAAGACAAAATGTGATCATCGCACATCAAGAAATGTATCAGCCTACAACCTCCCAAAGTTCCAAGTGATAAAGATTAAATATTTGGCCACCATATTTTTTCCCTCCCTCTGACAAATGACTCTTGTAGATGAATTTTCTTCTTTCAGCACAACTTAGGTTACTTATGGGGAATTTTGGAACAGGCAGAGGGCAAATGGCAACCATGCATGCATAACCCATCCACCAGTACACAGAGAAAGTCATGGACTCTCCCTTGTTTTTCAAGCCCTGCGTCTTGCCTCCCTCTGCCAAAAGCTCCGTGCTACCACCCCCTCCTCGCTTGACCCTCTTTCTGGGGAAGGGCACATAGAGCCAGGGGCTGCTCTAGTTTACATTTGGGACCCAGGAGCTCTTGCAGTGATGGAGGCTGGCACTTTGCTCTGCAAGATGCTGCTTTTCCCCAGACCTAATAAAACATTTAGACCAACTATAACCTTTTGCCTTCCAATCTATTGTAGCATTTTAATTTGAACGAATACCACGTCCAGGGGCAGTAGCATTAGTAAGGAGAAGAAAAAAGGGCCCCCTCTTTTCTGGGATTTTCCTAAGAGTGGGAATGCCTGCTCCATGATCTCCTGGGAAGGGGGGGAGAAGCCATGTGGCTGGGGGGAATTCCTACTTGAGCGGAATTCCTCCATGATTTTCAGGGCTGTCTCAGCTCAAGCCATAAGAATTTTCCCTCACTGGGAGGCAGGGCCATATATGTCCCATCCGTTAATCCCAAACACAGCAGAATATCTTTTTTAAAAAAAGTCTAACAGGAACATTGACACATCACACACCTTCTCCAGAGGCAACGTATTTTTTGCTTCTTTTCAGACAGGAGCTGCTTTAGGAAATCCGCTCTCATGGCTACTTACCCCCTGATTGTAGCTCCTTCTGTTAGCGGGAAAGTTCCTACGAGCAGAAAAGCAGCACATTCATATCCACAGCAACTGAAGATGTTTTTCCTACCTCGCTGAGATACCTTGCAGGGTGATGGGAAGAAGGAATCACCTTGAGGAACAGGAGGGAGAGTTGCTACCCAGACAACGGACAAGAGAACGGACACGAGTGTGGCCTGAGAAGCGACTCAGACAAGAACCTCTCCAGTTCTTCTGAAGAGAAAAGGAAGAGGCAGGGGAGCATAATCACACCTGCAAGATCCTGTGGATGCGACAGCAAAAACAGTCGACCCCTCCACGGCCCTAGTTTCTTAGCCTGGACTCCCTCGACACTCGGGGTCTGTAGGCCCGGCACACCCTGCCTCTCAGCTGGCGTTGGCTCCCTTTTCGTGTGCTAGATGCCTGCTCTGGGATCGTGGCTCTCTTCTTGGTAGTTTCTTGATTGGTTTATTTGCCTAGGGAGATTCTCAATCGTCCAGGTCATGGTTGTCCCAGAATTGCTTTCCCCCAAAATAACCAGATATTCTTGGGTTTGTTTTCTTGAAAGCGTTTTACTTTTCATCCAAGAAACTGAAGAACTGAAACTGGAGAAGCTTCTTGGATGAGAAGCGAAACGCTTTCAAGAGGAAAAAAACCAAAAAAGTCCAACTGTCTTTTAGAAAAGCACCTTTGGGACACTGTTGCTTACTGTTAGCTTGTTTGGCAGTTCCTCATTGGGGTATTGTTTGCTTCTTGATTGTTGGTCTAGTATTGAACTTGGTGTTGATCTGTGTTTATCTGGGTATTGATTGCTGGCAAGGAGGAGGTGTTTTGGCCTTTGGGGGTTTTTTGTTTTCTTTTGGTTTTTTGATTGACTCTGACAGGGCAAGCCACTGGTGTATAAAAAGACAGCAAAAGACACCCCTCCCTTCTAGCACTGAGGATGTTACCTAATTGAGTAAAGAAGCGTCTGCAAGAAAAACAACCAAGGTCAGAGAGCACCCAGGACCCCACGGTTCAATCCTGAGCCCCAAACATTCTTTTACCAGTTTCCCCCTGAAGGAACACAACGTATGAGCCCTCCCACGTTTCCCCAAGGTCTCATTTGGTTTCTCTCGGACAAGGAAGATTGGAAGCACAGAGGTATTTGGAGAATGTGGTTGGACAATGCTGCTTTCTTCTTCTTCTTCTTTTCTTCTTCTTCTTCTTCTTCTTCTTCTTCTTCTTCTTCTTCTTCTT